CTCTATCCCCTTCTTCCTTAGACAACCACTCCTCCCCTTCACCCGCACACTCCCACCCACATCCACACTCTTTTTTCTTCCTCTTCCCCACACTCTACCTTCCTCACCTCAACCCCAACTCCAACCTCCACTATCCTCCAAATGCCCACACTTTCATTCCCATCCGCACCACCCCCTCTCCCTCTCCAACCCACCTTGTCCCACTATAACCCCAACCCTACACCTCTCCACTACCCACTCCATCACCCCATCCCTCTCCTCTTCGTCTTCACTACCCACTCTATCTAACCCCTTTGTCTCGCAGGTGTTGGAATTGACGTGTAGTTTGATGTCTTTTTTCTGACGCTGTTCGATCTCGTCGGCGATAGAGAGAATGTGCTGGAAGTATTGGTAAAAAATCCTTTGCTTGTCTTTCTTTTTTATTTTGAGGAGGAACGTGATTTTGAGGAGGAACGTGGCGGCGGTAGCGTCGTTGGTCCATGAGAGCTTGGCACCGAGAAAGGTGTCGTGGGCAGTGTGATTAGGGTCAAGATGGAGGAAGATATCGGAGGGATTGGGCCCAGAGAAGAGGTTGGTGAAATCGGAGTCTTGGACGGAAGGGAGAGAGTCGAGGTAGGTGAGGATTTTGTGGTACAATTGGTTTTCTTGAAAATGGTGATTGTAGAGTGGGATTTTGAAAGATTGACGAAGGTGGAGACAGTTTTCAAGTGATATGATATGGGAAATCCGAAAAGTACACAAAGGTTCCAACTTTTCATAATTTGGAGCAAAACCCATATGCTTTCCAACTTTTCATGCTTGGGACCAGCACCACTTGAAAGATCAACATGATAAGATGGGTGGTGTGAATGGGTTGGTAACAAGCCTGAGATGTGAAAGAGAAAACTCTCTAGGTTCAATTGATTGGAAGCCACTTAAATGGACCCATCTTGGAAGCTTGTTTTCTCGAGGCTCAGGTTTTAACCACTCAAGTAGCTTAAGAAGAAAGAAAGAAAGGGATGCTTGAAGGGGGTTATAAGGAAGGGAAAGGGAAGAAGGGGTGCTTGCAGTGGGTTGTGAGGGAGGAGGAGGGAAAGGGAAGAATGAGTGCTTGAAGGAGGTAGCGAGGGCGGGAGAGGGGAAGAAAGGAAGGGAGAGGGGCTGTAGAGAAGAAAGAAAAAAAATTACAAGAATTTTTATGCAATTATATAAAATAGGTTCAGGAGTTTATTTATAAATTTTAATTTTAAATAAAAATAAAAAATAATAAATGATGTGGTATGACATATAGACTGTGATTGGACTTCAAAATGACCACGTAGTATCATATGGAGTGTTGAGCTGGTTCTCCGTTAGTCAGTTTAGCACATAATAAAAAAGAGATTAATGGCAGAGACCATTTCTAAATTTTTTATTTTAGAAGGACCACTTCCTAATAAAAATGTTTGTAGGGACTAATCACAAAAATGACTATATTTAAAGGGACCAAACACATAACTAAGATAATAAGAAAATCCGCTATAAAATCACAGGGTTTCCCTACTCTGCTTTCCCTTCTCTGCACTCCTTTGTCTATCGCTTTGTTATGATAATGGCAAAACTAAGTGTATGTATTGCATTTCGGAATGATGGATCCTCCACTTTGTAAGTTTTTCTCCATTGCCTGTGGCACTTGTGAAATGAATCACAATGTTTAAAGATCATGCTTCATCTTTATTTTAATTAATTGCTTCTGTTGATAGTTTTCTAAGTAGTGGGTGATTTTTCTAACTCTTCAAATTGGAATCTGCAGGTAGTTTATAATTTTGCATGGTTCATCGCATTTTCTTTTTCCGCAAGAGCATAGATATGTTATAGCTGGATTTTTCTACCAGGAATCCGTTAGTCTGTACCCTAGAACCTGTTGGATATTTAAAGGAAAAGAAAGATTCATAAGAATGAAATTGCTGTGTAAAGTCATATTTTATTATTGAACTAATGAAGACTTTAAATACAGCTGAAGCTCTAAAACTGAAAGTACGTGAAAATAGCAACTACACATGAGTTACGTTTACACGTTTAACCACTTCCTAAAAATCTGAAACGTGCTGACTAAGTTATTTGAATCATTCAAACAACACTAAGTAAAACATCAAATTTATTTAAAAACAAAAGACAGCTAATAAATGCTAGCATGGATGAAATCAACAGCAACTAAAGTACAACTTCAACACTCCTCCTTACTTTGGTTGCTGCAAACCCCAAGTTTTTCTCTAAGAAATTCAAACTTGCTTCTCGGTAAAGGCTTTGTGAATATATCGGCTAGTTGCAATTCAGTTTTGTAATATGTCAAGCAAACTGTACCTTCCTTCTGCACTTCTCGAAGGAAAAACAATTTGATGTTGAAATGCTTGGTTTTTTCATGAAAAAACAGGATTGTTTGAAATCGAAATAGCAGCTTGATTATCAACAAACACTTCAGTACATCCCTCTTGCTTCATTTTCAAATCTACGAACACCTTTTTTAGCCATAAGGCTTGATTCACAGCAGCATTAGCAGCAACCAATTCAGCTTCAGCCGTAGACTGTGCCACTGTATCTTGCTTTTTACAGCTCCATGAGAATACACTTGAACCAAGCAAGAAACAGTATCCTGAAGTGCTCTTCAAATCATCAAGAGAGCCTCCCCAATCACTATCGGAATATCCTTGTAAAACACAGTTCTGACTTTTGCAAAATTTAATTCCAAAACTCAAAGTCCCTTTCACATATCGCAGGACTCTTTTAGCAACAGTAAGATGAGTTTCAGTTGCACAATTTGTAAATCTAGATAGTAGACTTACTGAATGTAAGATATCAGGCCTAGTAGCTGTCAAGTACATTAAACAACCAACTAGACTTCTGTAGAAAGTTTCATCAATTTGTTCAGCTTCATCTTCTTTGCTCAACTTCTCCTTCTGGCACATTGGAGTGTCTACTATCTTGCATTCATTCATTTTGAATTTTTTTAGGATTTCCTTCACATATTTCTGTTGACAGATGAACACTTCTCCAGATTTCTGCTTTATTTCCATTCCCAAAAAATATGCCATTTCCCCCAAATCTGTCATCTCAAAACTTTGTTTCATATCTTCTTTGAACATTTTCACCATCTCTTCATTACTTCCAGTGACCAGTAGATCATCCACATACAATGAAACAACAACAAAATTGATTTCATCACCTTTAATGTATAGGGTAGCTTCATTAAGACTTCTGTTGAAACCCAGTTTCATCAAATACTCATCAATTCTGCTGTACCATGTTCTTGAGGCCTGTTTCAGACCATACAGAGCCTTTTTGAGCAAGTACACATCATCTTCTTGCCCTTTCACAAGAAAGCCTTCCGGTTGCTCAACATAAATCTCCTCCTCCAAAAAACCATTTAGGAATGCTGACTTGACATCAAGTTGATATACTTTCCAATTCTTTTGTGCAGCTATTGCAAGTAACAACCTGATTGTGTCTAATCTGGCAACAAGAGCAAATGTGTCAGAAAAATCAACACCAAAAATTTGAGCATAACCTTTTACAACAAGCCTAGCTTTATGCTTGTTGACTGAACCATTAGGATTCAACTTGGTTCTAAATACCCACTTCACTCCAATCACTTTTCTATTTTTGGGTCTTTTCACTAGCCTCCATGTTTCATTTTTTTTAATCATTAACAGCTCTTCTTTCATTGCTGTAACCCATTTCGGATCCTTCTCTGCTTCCCAAAAATCTGTTGGTTCAAGCACTGCAACATTGCATCTTTGATAAATATTAGAAAGTGATCGCATACTTCTAGTTGGGATGTCATCAACCAACTCATCTTCATCAAGTTGATTTTTTGAAACTTGACCAAGACATTCAACTCCTTGTTTTTTATCCCAATCCCACTCATCATTCTCCATAAAATGCACATCTCTACTGATCAAAATTTTCTTAGTGTTTGGTTGGAAAATTCTGTAAGCTTTAGAGACCAAGCTGTACCCGACAAAGATTCCAGCTTCTGTCTTTTTATCCAACTTATCCCGTTTTGTGTGGGGAACATAAACAAAACACAAGCAACCGAATACTTTGAGATTTGTTAAAGAGGGTTTGAAACCATACCAGGCTTCATATGGAGTTTTTTTTACGACAGCTTTGGTAGGAAGTCGATTAAGAAGGAATACGGCCGTATGTGCGGCCTCTGCCCAGTACTCTTTTGGCAAATTCTTCTCAAACATCAAACATCTCGCCATCTCCATTATGGTGCGGTTCTTTCTCTCGCTGACTCCATTCTGTTGTGGAGTGTATGGAGCAGTGAGTTTATGTTCTATCCCTGCTTCTTCACAAAATTGGTTAAATTGATTGCAAGTGTACTCCTTGCCATTGTCAGATCTTAAGACTTGGATTTTGTGACCACTTTGTGTTTCAATCCATTGCTTGAATTTCCAAAAAACACCAGCAACATCTGATTTGAATTTAAGAAAATAGATCCAACACATTCTGGAGAAGTCATCAATAAATGTCAAAAAATACCTGCTGCCATTGAGAGATGTTGTGCTGTGAGGTCCAGCCACATCCGTATGAATCAATTGCAGTTTCTTAGTAGCTCTCCAGGTTGATTGCTTGAATGGAAGTCTTGATTGCTTTCCTTGTTGACAAACTTGACAGTTTGGAATTTCAGATTCAAGACAAGGGAGACCTTGAACCAATTCCATTCTCTGCAAGTTGACAATAGCTTTCTGATTGAAGTGTCCAAGCCTCTTGTGCCAAATTTCTGAATGGGCTTTTGCTGCAGGAAACGCTGCTTGCTCCTCCTCCAATGGATCAAGTGCAAAACTTTTTCCATTCATTTTAACTTTGAATACATCATTATCATTCGCATCTTTGATCAAACATTCATTACTTTCAAATATAACTTTGAAACCTTTTTGAATCAACTGGCCAACACTCAACAAATTTTGACTGATATTAGGCACAAATAAAACATCTTTGATAAATTTTGTACCTGAAATACTTTCAATTGCCACTGTTCATTTTCCTTTGACTGCAATTTTTTCTCCATTGCCAATCGTCACTTTAGAAACAATGGAAGTATCCAATTCCTTGAAGAGATCACGATCAAATGTCATATGATTAGTGCAACCGCTGTCAATTAGCCACTTCTCATTTGAATTAGAGGCTGCAAAGCAGGTGGCTACAAAAAGCTGCTGCTCTTCTTCATCAGCAACTTGAGCAACATTCTTTTGTTGCACATTCTCTTGTGTCACCGTCTTTTGTTGACTGTTGCTTTTGCAGATTTTTTGATGATGCCCCATTTTCAAGCATTTTTCACATTGCTGGTCTGGTTTTCTCCAACACTTCCACGGTGGATGATTTTCTCTTCCACAATGTTTACATGGAGAGAAATAAGACTTTGTTGGAGAATCAAAACTTGAATTTCCTTTCTTATAGCTTTCAAATTTCTTTGCTTTTCCCCCATAACTCGAGCTAGCCTTTGCAGCTAATGCACCTTCGACAGACCCTTCGGACCTCATCATCCTTCTCTGTTCTTGTGCCTGTAATGCATTCATCAATGCTGTCAAACTAATTTTTGACAGATCTTTAGAGTTTTCCAAGGAGGCAATAGTAGCTTCAAACCTCTCAGGAATGGTGACAAGAACTTTTTGAACTATTCTAGAATCAGGAAAATCAGATCCAAGTAATCTTACGTGATTTGCTATTTTGAGCAGTTTGTCAAAATATTCCTTCACCGTCTCCGATTCCTTCATGTGTTGGACCTCAAACTCCCTGATCAGATTTAGAACTTTCATTCCTTTAATTCTTTCATTTCCTTCATACTCCCCTTTCAAGAAATTCCAAACTTCAAACGCTGATTTCATCGCCATGATCCTGAGAAAAATATCAGAAGAAACAGCAGCAAATAATGAAGCTCTTGCCTTGGATTTTCTTGATTTCTTCTCCTTATGAGACTTGATCTGCGCCATTGTTGGATTTGCAGGTAAGGGGAGAAGTTCATAATCCTCCTCCACAGCTTCCCATAAATCGTTTGCCTCTAGATAGGCTTCCATCTTCGCTGCCCACACATGGTAACCTTCGCCATCAAACACTGGTGGAGCCAATGCCGTGAATGGTGTTTCAACATCCATTGATAGAGAAAAAACAAGATAGAATATCGTTTCACAGGTCCCTTAAAGAAGAGGGCTCTAGATACCAATTTGTTGGATATTTAAAGGAAAAGAAAGATTCATAAGAATGAAATTGCTGTGTAAAGTCATATTTTATTATTGAACTAATGAAGACTTTAAATACAGCTGAAGCTCTAAAACTGAAAGTACGTGAAAATAGCAACTACACATGAGTTACGTTTACACGTTTAACCACTTCCTAAAAATCTGAAACATGCTGACTAAGTTATTTGAATCATTCAAACAACACTAAGTAAAACATCAAATTTATTTAAAAACAAAAGATAGCTAATAAATGCTAGCATGGATGAAATCAACAACAACTAAAGTACAACTTGAACAGAACCCCTAGAACTAGAAGACTAGGGGGACATTGTAAATTGGTTTTGAATAACTTGGAATATTTTAATTTCAACAAATTGTATCAGTTAAATTTTTAATTAATTATTAACTTGAAATATACAAGTTTTAAAATTAATTAGTTAAATTATTGAGTAATTTTGATGGATGCTGCACTACACATCACAACAATATTTGAAAAGCCACAACACCTATGGAGATGCACTTTGACCTGGAAGATGCTGTGAAAGAGACATTTTTTTTAATGCCACAACAATTTTTAATGCTTCCACGATGCTGTGACAGATACATTTCAAAATTCATGTACACTTATTGGCCTCCCCATGTCTTAACCAAACATTGAAAGTCAGGGAGAGACAATGTCTTTTTTAGTTTTTACTATTTTATCTTTCAAAGTGCCAATCATTCTGAAAGATTCCACATGTAAATTGACAGAGAGCTAATATTACGTTGAACTATATTATATGACATGAGATCAGTACGAGGTTCCTTTTGTGTCATCACCTCTAGCTTAATAATTTTTGGCAAAGTAAAATATTATCAAATAAAATTTTTATTTCGAAGGAGCACGGCACAAATTACATTATGATCATATCATGCAAATAAAGAAATGAAAACTTAACAACAATGAATTATACATGAAAATTTTTCAGAACAAGACAAATATTTGAATAAACAATGAGACATGACACAAGTACATTCATAACGAGGCTCTTCACTGTAGACCTGATATAATTAACAAAGTCTTCAAATAAAACGTAATAATGTGTGGCATAATGTTATTGAAACAATTTAAGTTGGTCTAACTAGATTAATAGACTCTTAAAGGAGGAGGTGGCGAGTTATAGAAGCAGAGAAGGTGATATGGTGGCTACATGTGGACATAATGAGGATGTGACAAAGAAGGTGGAGATGGAAACTTGTACGTATATGAAGGCGTTGAAGGAGATGGAGGGGATAGAAATTTCTAAACATATGGGGACTTGGAAACATATGGTGGAGGAGGTGACGGGGATGGAGGTGGTGGTGGTGACTTATAGACGTATGGAGACTTGTAAACATATGCTGGGGGAGGTGAGGGTGATGGGGGTGGGGGTGACTTGTAAACGTATGGTGGTGGAGGTGGATGAGATGGTGGAGGTGGAGACTTGTAAATATATGGAGGAGGTGGTGATGGAGATGGTGATGGTGGTGACTTATAGGCATACGGAGACTTGTAAACGTATGGTGGTGGAGGTGAGGGAGATGGGGGTGGTGGTGACTTGTAAATATATGGTGGTGGTGGAGGTGAATGGGATGGTGGGGGTGAAGACTTGTAAATATATGGAGGAGGTGGTGATGGAGATGGGGGTGGTGGTGACTTATAGACATACGGAGACTTGTAAACGTATGGGGGTGGAGGTGACTTGTAAATGTATGGTGGTGGTGGTGGTGGTGGAGGTGAATGGGATGGTGGAGGTGGAGACTTGTAAATATATGGAGGAGGTGGTGATGGAGATGGGGGTGGTGGTGACTTGTAAACGTATGGTGGTGGAGGTGAATGAGATGGTGGAGGTGGAGACTCGTAAATATATGGAGGAGGTAGTGGTGGAGATGGTGGTGGTGGTGACTTATAAGGAGACTTGTAAACATATGGTGGGTGAGGTGAGGGAGATGGGGGTGGTGGTGACTTGTAAACGTACGGTGGTGGAGGTGAATGAGATGGTGGAGGTGGAGACATGTAAATATATGGAGGAGGTGGTGACGGTGGTGACTTATAGGCATACGGAGACTTGTAAACGTATGGTGGTGGAGGTGAGGGAGATGGGGGTGGTGGTGACTTGTAAATATATGGTGGTGGTGGAGGTGAATGGGATGGTGGAGGTGAAGACTTGTAAATATATGGAGGAGATGGGGGTGGTGGTGACTTATAGACATACGGAGACTTGTAAACGTATGGGGGTGGAGGTGACTTGTAAATGTATGGTGGTGGTGGAGGAGAATGGGATGGTGGAGGTGGAGACTTGTAAATATATGGAGGAGGTGGTGATGGAGATGGGGGTGGTGGTGACTTATAGGCATACGGAGACTTGTAAACGTATGGTGGTGGAGGTGAGGGAGATGGGGGTGGTGGTGACTTGTAAATGTATGGTGGTGGAGGTGAATGAGATGGTGGAGGTGGAGACTTGTAAATATATGGAGGAGGTGGTGGTGACTTGTAAATGTATGGTGGTGGAGGTGAATGCGATGGTGTAGGTGGAGACTTGTAAACATATGGTGGGGGTGGTAAGGGAGACAGGGGTGGTGGTGACTTGTAAATATATGGAGGAGGTGGTGATGGAGATGGTGGTGGAGGAGACTTGTCGGCATATGGAGACTTATAAATATATGGTGGTGGAGGCGAGTGAGATGGTGGTGGCGAAGACTCGTAGACATATGGTGGTGGAGGTGAAGGAGATGGAGGAGGTGGAGACTTGTAAACATAAGGAGGAGGAGGTGATGGAGATGGTGGTGGAGGAGATTTGTAGACATATGGAGGAGGTGGTGAAGGGGATGGAGGTGGTGGAGACTTATACACATATGGAGGAGGCGGCGGTGAAGGAGATGGAGGTGGTGGTGACTTATAGACATAAGGTGGAGTTGGTGATTTGTATGTATATGGAGTTGATTTGTGATAGGTTGGCTGGGATGCATAGTAAGGCCCATAATCAGCAGCCACATTGATAGCAACTAGGCAAAATGCCATTACGTAGATGAGTCGAGGCCAATGCCTCGGCCCTGCTGAAGTTCCCATCTTCTGTGAATGTGTAGCCCCACTTCTCCTTTAGATGACCTGTGCTCTTTGCTTGCTTTGCTGAGTAAGGATCGTCACCCTTTATATAGTGTTAGCCATCAGTCACGGCTCATATGATATTTGTTTGTTAGATGCATCAACAGACTGGATTAACTATTTAAATTATACATGCTGCACATTACCCTTTTGTTCAAAGCATTTTATATTTCAAGTTGAAGTTGTGGTTCTCCATTAAGTGAATTCATATTTCTCACAATATGGACAGGGAACAAAGTCAAGGAAGATGGTTGGTAATTACGTGATTGGATATAAGTACTATTTAAATTGGACTAAATTTTTGAAAAAGCGTGTCAAAGCAAACCAGCTATGATTATTTGATTTATTACCATTAATTTTAAGGGAACCGGGGATTATAATCAATCAAGTCTAAAGTATGAAACATCATGTGAAGATGCCAAGGTTCTTTTTTGTGCTTAACAATTTTGGTTCTTTCTTCGAAATGGCAAATATTTCAGGATTGTAGAAACTCATAATTAGCTATTTTATTCTCTTATAGATTGTCGTTGAAAATAAAACCTGCCAGACTTCCCTATCAATAAGCTAACTGACATTCACGGGTCATGACGATGATTATATTGAAAATGATCAGCAAGATAATGTGACTTAAAGAATTTAATTTTGACTTGGTATAATTACTGTACATATATCTAGGCAGACTTACATTAACCTATTTTGTTACTTTAGTTAATCAAAATGTTAACTATACATCAGGAGGCTGTCGTTGTTACTTTGCAATCAGTCATGTTGTTTAAACTTTTTAACACTTCACATGCTGTATTCTATTATAAGGCCATCCATTCGTTGTATTTTGATAGTCGTTTAATTGCATAGATGAACGCAATTTGCTCAACTCATCACTCTTGGGGATTTATCTTTGGCATCGTGAATAATGATTTATGGGAACAGAATTTTAGAATCTTCCTTTATTTTATCTTGTTTTATTTTCTCGTTATCTCCAAGAATGCTGCGAGAAAAGTCGAAAAAGATGAGAAAGAGAAATTATATACGTAGAAGAAAATCACATTTAAAACCTTTTAAGAAGGAACTATTCTATTTTGTGAAATGATCTATACCGCTTTTGTTCTTGCAGCATTATTATGCCATCAAATTTAAACACGAATGGTTTTTAGAATTTAGCTCTATATCATTCTGTCAACACATTCTTGTAACATTTCAAGCTGGCTCTTAATGTGCTTGTCAGTATTAACTATTTATGGCAGTCATCGACTCATTATCAAGAAGTTTGGAGATTCACTCTATGTTCTTGGTAACTTAACGTGCAAGTTTCTAGTCGTGAGTGAAACTAGGAAGAATTCGATCAGAATGCCTAGTTTTGGATGTGAGAAATCATGATTGGACCATACATGCTACTAGTATATCTACCTGCACCCAATATATATTGCACATATTGAACTGATCTTAGTTTTAATATTAGTTGAAAATTCGAAGCACGGTCGGGGAAGAAGATTCCTTCTACAATAATACATAGTTCATAAAAGTTAAATTCTCTTACAGTCCTATTAGACATTTTTCCTCAATTTTACAAAGTTAATTATTCACTTAATTGTAATGGTAATCACGATATATATACCTTGCTATTTTAGTATTCTATTTTCAAATCCCTCATCAAAATAATCTTCTTAATGACTTTCAACGCATTATTATACAAATGCAAGCTTCTTAATAGTGCAATTTTGCTGCTAGAACGTCTAATCGTTTGACATGATATTGGTACAGGTAACGTATGCTTTCTCATAGGCCAAGCAGAAATTGCATCATATTTTGTTCTTTATAGACATTGCAGGTGGGTTATGTGTTAGTTGCAATGTCGTGTATAATTGTTTAGAGGGGAGGCAATTTCGGAGGCAATCCTTGTGTATTATTCGACTTCTAAAGTAAATTTGTTTGGCAATGAGAAGGTTTCTGTGTGGCCAGCTGTAGGAAAGGAAATACTATTTGGAATTTTGAGGGAAGCCATCAATAATCTTCCCTCCCCACATGTTCTTCTTAATCTCATGAAAATGGTGATATCTTCTAAAATGCACGAGATATTATCATAGGATAAGTAATTTTAACTATTTAAATTTTTATAGGGTTAAGATTAGTTGTATTTTAATTAATGTAATTTTAATCTTAATATTACATTAGATATAAATTAAGTGTAAGTCATACATACTTCATTTCTCTTAAACAATATATTAGATTCAAATATTACATTAAAAAAATTCACCGAGAGTACTAGCTACATCATAATGTACATATTTTCATTTTGAATAGTATTTAGTGAAAATAATTGTAATTTAAATGAAAAAATATATATAAACCACAAATTATAAATAAAGACAATTTCAATATTATAAAGACTATTTTTAAATTAAATATAGAGATTTTTTTTTTAATTTTCACATGGATCTGATCCGAGTCGTACATATGAATATGATGAAGACTTTTTATATACATAAAGATTTAAACTCAAAACTTTACTTAAACGATACTAAACCATTTGTTACTCATATCAACTTTCGTTGATTATAGAAATTTATTTTGATAACATGTATATTAAATTTTAAGTACGTTATTTACATAAAATTTATTTTTATTCGGAATATAATGGTACTAATTAAAGAACTAAAAAAATTATTAACAAATTTATAATAATTTGTAATATATTCTAACATAATTTTTAATAAAAATTTATTTAAAATTTTGATTTCTTAAATATTTTTTTAATAATTATTTTTAATATTTAATAAACTAAATATTAAATAAATAAATATTTTAAAATTATAAAAATTGAAAATACCTTTTTATTAAATCTTTAATAATAAAACTCATATTAAAAATATATAAAATATTATACTTTCAATTTTATCTTATAAATAAACATATGATTAAAATTTTATTACTTAAACTACTCAAAATTAATATAATGTATTTTTTTTTGTTTTTTATACATATATCTTTAAAATGTACTTAACATATATAAAAAAAAAACCTAAAAGTATACATATCCAACATTCTCCCGTAAAATTGCCCCCCTCACTTGTAATTTTCGCATATGTATTGGTAGAATCTATGAAAGATCGAGGTGTCAGTCTAAACGACAAAATAAAAAGAAAGTCAACCACATTGAAAGAAAAATGAAAATACAATCTTGATAGCGATTGCTCTACTAAAACCAGCGATCTTCATGGCAAGAAAGTAATTTTAAAACCATGAATTTTTGAAGCTTTTGAGTGTTTTAGAGATGTTATTCAAAAATCATTTTTGTATTTTTTTTTTTTTATACAAGAGATGAGAAATTCATGTGTGTTTTTCAATACCGGGTAATGCATATATATTTTATTTAGTTTATTTTGAAATAATTTGTACCCAATATTTTACATATAAATTACGAAAGTATGTTTAAACATATTTAATTTTAAAAACTAAAATTATATTTAACAAATGTATTCTTATTTTTTTACTTCTTTAAATAAAATTAAAACATAAACTATAACTAACATTTTTAAAATTTTGAAGAGATAAAAATAATTTTTTTAAAATCAATACATATATTTAAACAAATTAAGTATTTAATAAAAAATATTTGTAATCTGAATAAAAAATTCTTCATAAAAAAAATAGAGAATATGGATCCTCCAAGCTGCCAGCTGACTTTCTTATACTTGCTGGTTGGTAACCAAATACTAGTATTTTATAATTCAAGCTTTAATGGTCACTTATTTTTAATGAAAATTCACAATATTAAATTGCTAAGTTAATTTCTAGTTTTATAGAAATTCACATTGAAAAAAAAATGCTATGATTGCAAGTATAATTTTCTTTAAAGTAAAACACTACTTCGGTGTCTAACTAAGAAGCATTTATTTCACCGAAGTTTTGAAATTTTAACAACTCAACACGAATGTTATTTTTCGTTTTAAAAAAACTCTACATGTATCACATTAGTCCTGAATTCTTAAAGCATAATACCTGTTTGTTAAGTTAGGTCCATTTTTATTAGTATACGTGTATATGCATTAATGTCACATTGAAATGACTAATTGTAAATATCTGTTATATTATTTTTATATTGTCACATTATTTATTATAACATTTTTTTTTGTTAATTGTAAGAAAAATTATACAAACTTCTTAAACAAATGAAATTCCTCTGCATATATGACCTCCAAAATAGCCAAGGCGAAGGCATTATAATGGAAACAAATTAACTAGTTTTGAGTTGACTTGACAGTAAGGTTTTGATACAAAGGAGAAGAAAGAATAAATTTTTATTTTAAAATTAAATAATTATATTATATTTATAAAAAAATTAAATAAAAGATCAAGGTACTAAATTTATGTTAACTTGACATTTTATTATTTAATAAATTATTCAAAGAATATTTTATTAGAAATAAAAATTTACTTCCATTTTTTTTTAAAATCCACTCATATATATCCTTATCATCATACTATGTCTAGTTGCAACAAATTATTAGCAATTTATTTATTTTTCAATTGAAAGACACTTGAAATTTCAATGAGATAGATGTAAGAACTTTTTGCTTTAAAAAATTGCGTTAGAAAGCCAAATTATTCTATTTGCATCAATCACATTTCTAAACATAAATTGAGTTACCTCGCATCAAACTAGATTATGTTAACGGTAATGCCTGATTAAGATTAAAAAGAAAAAGATGAGATAATTTTTTATACAATAAAATTAAAAAAATAATCCAAAACTTTTCTTATTTGGATCAACGAAGAAAGTAGAGAGAAGGATAAATAATTATGAAACTCGTCATTATTTCTTCTTCTCAAAATGCAAAGGAAAAGTTTTTGAATGTGTGTGAAACAGAAAAAGAGAACAATACTAACACTCTCAAGTGGCCAAAATACCTTTTCCT